TTTTTTTTTCTGGTATCAGGGATCAAACTCAGGACCTTACACTTGTGAGGCAGGTGCGGAACCACTGAGCTAAATCCCTGGCCCTAACTCCATCTACTTTTGGAACTTATCTGGATTCTACTACATTTTTCAACTGGTCCACTTTTTCTTTCTTTGCTGTGCTCTAGTGCTCTGGCTTAATTTCTGTAGCTGCATAAGTCTTGATATCTGATAAAATAAGCCCTCCAATTTGTTACATCTTTCCCAACATATTCATGGCCCTTCACATTTCCATATAAATTTTAGAACCAGTTTGTCAACATCAGACACACTTATACACACACACACACACACACACACACACACACACAGAGAGGCAGAGACTTTCATTTAGATTGTAGTAAATCTATAGATCAATTTGAGGAGCATTGACATTTTTAACAATACAGACTCTTCCATCTATGAACACTATTCAGTAAGTTCAATTTCACATCAACTGTGTGCTAATCAGATGTGGCTCTTGCCACATCTGGAAGGATTTACAAATTTGTAAACAAACATATAAACACAAAATGAAATCACTGATAATAATAAACACTAATATATACCTAGCACATATTGTATGCCAACACATGATTTTAAGGACTTTATATGGATTAGTTCATTTATACTTCACACTGATACTCTGTGGTTAAGCTAATTATATAGACTTTTATGTAAAGACATATTTATTAACATTTTTGGGTTTAACATAGCTATCATAGGCTTTTACAAATGTAGAAAATAGCTTTCAGGTCCTCTTTATTCATTTAAGGATTTCTGGAGAATCATAAGAACTACTGGAATTTGATGATGGCAAGTTACTGGTGAGGAGGAAGAAAATTCAGTAACTTCCTAAAAATAAGTTACAAGTCTTGATTATTTTTATTTACTCTTTCACAAAATGCTCAGTTTGGTTCTTAAGAAATTTAAAACCACTTTCACATTTATACAGGATCTTTAAAATATGAGTTAAGTCTGCAAAACAGTGTGCCAGGTTTTGTCTGGATTAGAAGGAATCCCAGCATTGCAGAAACATTGTGTAGATACTATTTTAGTTTATAATCAGGATAAAGGCCTTCAACTGGAAGCCAGGGCACCTGGGCTCTTCTTGTCATCTTGCTTGGTGTGACCTGGAGTCTCTCAACTTCCGGATATAAGAAGCTCTATCGCAGAATGCAAGGGGTTAAATCAGGTCACCCTCAATATCCTTTCCAGCTGTTACGTTATACAACCAGGAAATCAGAGTAACAAGTTCCAGGCTGTTTGGGGTCAGGGATTTTAGAACCTTTATTCAATGTGTAGTACTTTCAAGTTTTTTTTTACTTTTTAGTCTTATTAAAAATTCTGCACAGAGACACCGCCATATATTTACCTATGTTCTGTGTATAGTATTTAAGTATGTTTTCCTACTTAACAACCTCTTTATCATTGGCAGTCAAAAAATTCATCAAAAGTATGGTGGTGCACACCTGTAGACCTAGCACTTAGGCAGAGAGGCAAGAGAATCAGGAGTTTGAGGCCAGCCTGGGCTACACAGACTTTGTCTCATAAACAAAAACAAAAACAAAACAACAGCCTCAAAGTGTAGTTTTATCTTTTTTCCTTTATTGTTATTATTTGGGGCTTCCTTTTTGAATTTCTCCATGATCTCTTCTGGAGTTGCAAAGACCAAAAGCTTCTCCACCACCTTTTTACAAGACTTAATACTCACCCCAAACCACACACATCTCTCTTCCGGTGTCCTAAGCCTGAGGAAGAGGCCAGCAGCGCTTCCCATGCAGGTGCTGCCTTAGCCACCTTTATGGCTTCAGATGTCACATCTGTTGCAGTGTTTTGTTTGGAGCAGGGTTCAGCACGGATGGCGATGGTGACGCCTTTAGAATCATCTGTCCCCAGACTGAGAAAGGAAGTGGGCTCTGGTTCCTAGCTCTGGCTGGTGCCCTTGTCTGTCACACCGTCTTCCTTTGGCATCTTGGGACCATCAGGGAGCCCAGCTGAAACCCAGGTGCTGGTACTTTAGGGAGCTGCCACAACCCACACTGAGTTGCAGCACCTGCCTGGGGAGGCCTGGAGGTGTTCTTAATGTTAACAGGATCTGCGAAAAAGAACACCCAGTCTTTATGGGGAAGTCAGAGAAACATCACGCCAAAGGTGAAAATGGAGATTTTTCTGAAGAAGTTTGCCAGGAATGGAGGAAGCGGAACACGTGCGCTAATGGGACTTATCAGGAAAGTGCCTGTGAGTGAATCCCAGTAGGAATGTGGCGTGTAGGGAGTGGGCATGTGGCTGGTGAGGCTGGAGAGGCAGGGTCTGAGGCCTTTCCTTGGCCTGGGGAGTCCAAGCTTTAACCTGAAGGCAGTGGCTGGAGGGCCCCTCCTGGGTCTTAGGTTGGTTCCTCAGTAGTCGTGCATATCACCGCAAGCCAGTGTCTTAAAACAACAAGACTTCATTCTCTCATCCTTCTGTGCCTATAGGAAGACTAGTCAGATTGGAGTCAAGGCCATGTTAATCCAGTGGGGCCTCTTCTTAACTACTTACATCTGTGAAGACCCTAATTCCCATTGAAATTGCATGTGCATGTGCTGGAGGTTGGACTTATACTATAACTTTTGGGAGAACAAAATTTAACCCACAACACAAAGCTTTGGATGAGGATTTGGGTGCAAGCGATTTATTAAGGAAGTGGTCCCCAGAAAACTAAAAAGGAAGTAGGAGAGGCGAAACAGGGACAAGGCTGTGATCCAAGGCAAGGTCCCCCTGGGGTAGTTGCAGCCCGATTCTGTGGATCCATTTTGGAGTGTAAAAGACCCCTGAGCATTGTTCTCGCCTGCAGTGAGGGAGTTGGTCCTTTCATGTTAGGGGGTGTGGGCTCCAGTGACCTGGGGACAGCCCACCAGAAAAGGGCTACAGTGCTGCCCACTGGAAGCAAAGATACAGCAGCGCAAGGTCACATTAAAATGGTACAAGGGAATTTGAGGACCTCTAGGTGAAGCATTTCCTGTGTGCTGCTTTGTCCTCTGCTCCAGAATTGTGTGAAGTGGCCTTGAAGGCCACCCCACACCCACTGTAGCGAGCTTAGACCAGTGGTGATGAACCTATGGCATGTGTGCCAGAGCCGGCTGCTTGATACATTGAAAGCTCTAAAAGGTTCACCATCACTGGCTTAGGCTGCTTTGGGGCTTTGTCCCTCACAGATCCCAGCTCAGTCTCCTGACATCATAAGCACCATTTTCTCCTTGACACTGCTGAGCTGCACATTTCTTTCTGTTCTTATTTTATTGTGCTTTTTTTTCCTTATCTTGCTCCGTTACTGTTTCATTGTTTAGATATCAGTGGTCAATCAGAATGCTCCTTTACTTTTGTCAGACAAGTTGACCAATCATGGCATGATATTTGCGAATTTGTGTGTCTTAAAGTTCTTTTCTGTGATATCATTGTGTTGGTGGCTCATGGACTACACTACAGTATCCAAGAGAGTAGTTTTATTTTTAGAGTTTCAAAGTGCTTCACTTTTCATGACTGAAACTACGTTGAGGAATTTGGAGGACTAAATGCTTCTCCCCAATTGTAGGTTGCATATCATAATTAAATAATATAGGTTAAATGAATTGATTTGTAAGATTTAAAAATAATCAGTCCATACCTGCAGAAGGTCCATATTAGGAGGAATATATTTAGTATGTGAAACCATGGGTAAAGTATTAAATGGAGGAGGGGGGACCTTCAATTTTGGTCCTAAATTGGCCTCTGAATGGTTCAATGACCTTTGGAGTATATGTTGACCTCTCTGTGTCTTGGTTTCTTATCCATGAAATTGGAAGGCTGGATTAGAGGATACTGGGGATCCCTTGAAGTTCTAACATCAATCCACATCTAAAGCCCAGAATCTTAGCACTTTAATTTAGGCAATAAAGTAGCTTAAATCCCAATTTACATCCATTTGAAGAAACTTGAACATCTGTTATTTGCTTGGTGGTGGGATAAAAGGGAATCCAAACCTAGCCCTCTCCTGCATTAACTCACAGTCCAATGTGCAGGCAGGTCAACAGAGAATTGCAATTGAGTATAAAAAAATTGCAATAAAAGATTTGTTTCAGGACACTGTGGGGACCCAGTGAGAGAGATGGCCATCACTGCATTGCTGAGAAGGCCTTGTAGCAGATTTCAGCGGAAAAATCATTTACAGTCATAATGCCAACTGCTATAACAAACAACCCCTCACAATGAAAGTTTATATTCAGTTCATGCAAAGTATAACATGGATGTTCCCGGTCAGTGTGTGATTCTTCATATACTTATTCAGAAACCCAGTTTCCCTCCATCTGTGATTCCACTGTCCTTTTCCTGGGGCATCAGAGTCTTCTGCTGGGTCCCCTGCATTCAGCAGATAGAGATGGCAATGAGTAGAGAGTCATGGGGAAAGGTGGAACAGGCCAGACTTGGGAGTCACAGATCCCATGTCTGCCTGTGAGTCTCACTGGAAGAATTCAGGCACAGCAGACCTAACTGCGAGGCAGGCTGGAAAATGTGGTCTAGCTGAGTTGCCACAAGGAAAATGAAATGTGTCTTGGAGAACATACAGCACTGTGCTACAAAAGGCATCGTAGAGGAGTCTATGCCAGTAGAAGCTAAATAACTTTCTGGCCAGTCTGATGGAGCTGTATGTAATATGAGACCATTGTCAAGATGGGACTTTCTGACCAGAGACTTTATACATTGGGATTCCTCACCAAGGGCTTACTGCAGCCATGGGTGGTTGTTGAGCTTCCAAGTGAGAGATCAGATCAGGTACTTCACGGATTCTGAAACGTAAGAGGGAGTGGCGTGAAGAGGGTGATAACTTTCTGTGCTGCAGGTGAGCCTTTCCCTGCATCCTCTGCCCTCCACCCCGCAGGTGTGAGATATTGATGGAGAACTCGGGTCCATCCCATTTGACCAACAGAGCACAGTTGATTCTTATGCTTTTTTCTCTCTCACAGTGACGCTTTCCGCTGCCCCACCTTCCTACTTCAGAGGCTTCACGTTAATTGCCCTCAAGGAGAACAGAGAGGGTGATAAGGAAGAGGACCATGCTGGTACCTTCCAGGTAAGCCCCTCCTGGTGCTGTAGGTGGCAGCCATGTGGAAGGTGGATGAGCTGAGGAGTTGAACAGGAGAGGCACAAGTGTCTTATTCCGGTGACCTCTCTGCAGTTGCCCGACTGCTGGCTCATTTGAAAGGCCATAACAGAGTAGGCACCAGATGCTGGGAGCCTGTCTGAGCTGGGCTGGCCACCAGGGAGGGCCTGCTCTGTCCTGGCCGGCCACACTGGCTCCCGGTGCCCTTGGCAGCAGGCCGTGCAGCGTAGTGAGAGCTGGAACCTGGAGAGGCCTTGTGAATTTCCTGCACAGGCATTGCGTGATTGACTGGTAATTCTCTCCTGTAAACGGAGCAAGAGCTCAGGACGCCCAGACTGGAAGGAGTTCAAAGCTCAGGGGAAGGACTATTAAGGGAATGTAGAGACTGATTTATGAGGGAAGATTAAAAGAATTACACATGCTTTGCTTGGCTAAGTGAACAGGGCTGAGTTTAAGAGGTGGTAATGGTCTTTGAATGTCCGTGCTTGCAGAGCAAGCTCCTCCAGGGCAGGCTTCCTCTGACTTTGTACAAAAGGGCACAGCGAGGCAAAAGTGGGTCAGGAGAAGAAAGGGACTCTCAAAGGCCGGGGCCTGACAGTGAGTCATATTTCATGGTGGAATATTCTTCCAAGGGAAGTGACGGGAACATCATGCCCTCGAAGAGGCTTAGAGAGGGGGCCACCAAGTTGTCAGAACATGTCCCAGAAGGACTGGGGCGATCTAGGGGGAGGCCTGGCCCAATTTGTTGTAACCATTTCTCATTTCCAGTTTCCATTGTTCTGGAATTCATTTTTATCTGGCATTTCCAAACCGACTTTTAAAAAAACTCAGGACGAATGGGTACGACTCTTAGCTGGCTGCTAGAGACTCTGGGACAATGTGTGGGTTCATCCTCGGAGGACTCTGTTCCCAAATGCTTTCCTTTTCTGAAGGCATCTTTTAATCCCTGGGGGCTTGTAATTTTGAGTCTTATGACTGAAAAAATGTGTCTGCTCTTGTCTGGTACTCTGGGCTTCTGGCCTAGTGAGATTGCTGCTTGCAATGCCCTTCTATGGCAAAGAAGTTGTTGGCATGTTTTAGAAGTAACCAATAATACTAATCGCTGATATCTGTCGAGTCCTTACTTTATGCCAGGCAGTATGCTAAGTGCTTTACCTTAACTCACTTTATCTGACCTTGGCTTAGCTTATTGCTGTTTAATTCTCACAACAACTCCAGTACATAGGAACTGTTATCCTCACTTCCAAACCGGGAAGTTGAAACTGGAGAGATTAAATCACTGGCCCAAGCAGCCTGTAAGTAGTCCAGCCAGCTCCCTCTGTCAAGGCATCTGACTCCAGGACTGCTAACTTGCCCACAATACTGGACTCGTGCTCCTCGTACAGGTGCATTTGGGCAGCAAACAGTGAGGTCACCAAGGTTGCCATTGGGGGTGAAAGGAAGCCACGGGCATGGTTTCAGCCAAGAAAGCACTCAAGTGGAATCCCTCCAGCTTGTGAGTTTTCCTGGAGGTGCAGGTGATTTATCACATTGCAGTGGCTGAGGGACTGGGCATCAGAGTGGTAGGAAAGGCAAAGGTCTAGTAGGAAATGTATGTGGAGGGCAGGGGCTGTGATATTAATTATCAGCCAAGTAAAACTGATCAGCTTCATAGTGATATTTAGCAGTACATACCCCAAAGAATTGACAGCAGAGATGTGAACAGATACTTGTAAACCAGTCTTCATAGCACCATCATTCATGAAAGATGGAAACAACCCAAATGTCATTGATAAAATATGACTTATATGGAAAGGGAATATTTACTTAGCCTTAAATGGAAGAGAAGTGTCATGCTGGCTACAGCAGATGAACCTTGAAGGCATTATGCAAAGTAAAATAATCCAGTCACAAAACGACAGATACTGGATGAGTTCACTCATATGAGGTACCTAGCATAGTCAGACATTCACAGGGATAGAAAATGGAATGGTAGTAACCTGGGGAAACCAGAACTAGGGAGTTCTTGTTTAGTGAGCATAGAGTCTGTTTGGGAAGATGAGAAGAGTCCTGGCAATGAATGGTGGTGATAGTTACACAGTAGTGTGAGTGTATTTAATGCCAGGGAACCATATACTTAATGGTAAATTTTGTTTCAGGATAGGTATATTCAACCATAATAAAACACATGACACTTCGTGTCAGGCCTAGAGGAGACATTGCTGCTTTCTAGGATGCTGCTACAGTTTAATTCAGTAAATCATTAGTCTTCTCAACTCAGTGTTTCTGCTCAGCTTAATTATTGTCCTTGTAACTGATAGGTGAATACGGGGCACTGCTCACAGTGGGGAGCCAGTTAATATTTACTGAATAAATGAATGAACAGATTGCTCATTATGGTCATTTCTAGAACTCTGTCCTGTCTGGGATGGTTTCAAGGCTCCTGTGCCTTCATGACTCTTCCTCTTCCAGCTTCTGACATCTGTTCTTTGTGATGGTGTTTTTGGTTTTTTGAGACAATGTCTCACCATGTAGCACAGCCTGGGGTTGAACTTAGGTTCCTCCTGCCTCAGCCTTCCAAGTGCTGGATAATAGGCGTGCGCTGCACCATTGTGCCCAGTTTGACATCTGCTTGTGTGGCCGTGATTCTCAGAGTGTGTTCTCATCAGGGGCATCAGGACCACCTGGGAATTGTTAGAAATGTAAATACTCAGCCCACTCAGACTTGCTGAATCAGACACAGTTTGGGTGAGGCCTGCAACCTGTGATTTAGCAAGCATTGGGGCAAATCTGGTGCCTGCTTGGGCTTGGGAACCCTGACGGTGATGAGACACAGACCAGCCATCCAACTCCATGTCCTCCGCCATCCTGCAATGCATCTGTCTGTTCCTATTCATCCCCTTATGCTTCCCACCCATGCTGGGGGGGTGGCAGTGGGTGGACTAGGGAAATACCCAGCATCCAGTGATGATGATGATGATGGTAGGTAGCACTTCCTTGGTGCTGAGTGCTAGATACTGTTCTGAGAGGCTTCCTTTCATGAGCTGGTTTAATCCTCAGAGCAGCATGGTGGGGTTAGTGTTGTTATCCTATTTTTCACAGCTGAGGAACTTTTGGCTCAGAACAATTAAGTAACTTTCCTAAAACCTCTGAGCTCTAAGTGCCGAAGCTGGGATTCAAACCCAGCAGTCCAACCCTAGGCCCCTGCTTAGAACTGAGGTCTGCACTGCCTGTCAGTGTCTATACTGCCTCTCGGGGAAAAATGAGGGTCCACTGGGGCAGTTTCTGCGCCCACTGCGCCGCACACTTCACCCTCCCTCTTGCTGTGTCAGATGTGAAGTCGGTGCTGCCACCAGCATTTTTTCAGATGCTGAAACTGAGTTTCCGAGAAGTTAAATTCGCCGAAGCAGCCCAGCATCTCAAGGGTCCAAAGTACGTGGCAATTTTTTCCTTTTTGTTTTGTGGTACTGGGGATGGAACCCAGGACCTTAGTACTGAGCTAATCCCCGCTCCCCTTTTAAACTTTTCATTTTGAGTCGAGATGTGGCTAAGTTGCCCAGGCACGGCTCACACTTGCAATCCTCCTCCCTCAGCCTCTCAGAGCACTGGTGTTTTCTTTCCGCACGCAGCTGCCTGTTTTCTTCTTACACTTCATTTCCTCACCCCTGCCTTGCTCTCGCGCCATTAAAAACACACATTTCGCTTGTTTCCCATCATCCCAGAGCTTAGTGGAGAAGGAATAATAGCCCAGGGCCCTCATCTTACCTCTCCCACTCCTAAGCGATGTGGCCCCTACACCTGTCCCTTCCCAGTCTCCTCTGTACCAAAGCGTTGGAGCCATTCATCCATTCTGCAGCGTGTACTGAGGGCCTCCTTGGGCCAGGCGCCGAGTTGGGGATTTGGGGATGCGGTGATGAAGCATCTATCTCCTCACTGAGCTTGTGTGTCCTCCTTGTAATTATCCCTCAAGTTAGAGTTTATTGCTGGGGGAGAAAGTTAAAAGTCACTTGCTAGAACAAGAGCAGACAATCAGAAACTACAAATGCCAGTGCAATAAAAAAAAAAAATGATTAACAGAATTACATAGCTCTTTGGTTGACGCCCTCACTCCAAATACGACAACTCTGAGCACTTAACAACAAAATTATAATGCTTTTAACCTCTAGATAAAGATTATATTCTTAGCTCTAAAAAGGACTCTGAATTGGGATATTTTGCTTTACCCACTCGCCAAATACAAATGCAACAAAAGCAAATTCTAAAGCTGTCTCTGTGTCTCATTAGCTTTAAGGGGCACAGGGACAATGGGCTTCCGCTACCTGGGAGAGCAAGGGTTACAATCTCACCACCCGCAGGTGCCTGTGGGGCCTCGGACCCAACCTCGGGGTCCTGGCTGCTAAGAGGGAAGAGACATGGACTCTCTTTTAAGAGCTAGCTGGGTATACTCATGGTTAATTGAAAGTGACAAGGAATTCAGAGACTGTACTGTCCACACAATCCTTACAATTCAATTTACTCAAAACACACTGTGCCCTGGACTGCGGTGGCCCAGCCAACTGCAAGCTGCCTCTCTCACCCCCTTCAGGACTGCTCAGAAGTTTTCCAAGGGACGCCTGCTCTGCTCACTCTCTTAAAACCTTCACCTGCTGCCCCTTCTTCCCCTGAGCTGGACTCTATTCTTCTCCCTCACTTAATTTTTTTCCATTGCATTTATTGCCTCCTGACATGTTCTCTATTTTCCCTGATGACTTGTTTTGTTCTGGCCCCTCCAGTGAACCATAAGCCCCATGAGAGAGGGGTTTGTGTCCTCTCTTTCCCCACAGCCAGCAGCAAATATGCCCAGCACAGAATAGCCAGGCACTCAGATATCTGACAGGATTCCCCCACTTTTCGGTGTGCTTGTCAGTTTATAGTCATGGGTTTCATGCTGGCAGATTTGTTTGTCCACATAAATACTTTAACCATCCCTCCCCCTCCCCCTCCCCCCTCAT